TTTTGCTTTTCTTCTTCTAGATTGTCCTTCACTTCTGTGTGTTTGCATTCTCATTCTATTGTTCTCTCTCTTTTTCTGGAGGAGTGAGATTTGTCATTGTAGATTAAAATTTTTCTAGTCTGCCCTGCTCATTATTTTGTTGTGCTGGCTATAGATTCTGGTCTCATGATTCTCATTTCTCTTCTAAACCACTCAAGAACAGCATGTTGTGGTTCCATGTTCTCAAATTCCAGAGTCCTTTGTCTCATTAAGTGTTGGATCAATTTCATATATTTATTCATAGATGCCTGAACTCATTTACTAGCTCTGGAGGCCATATTTCTTTCTGCTATTACAGTCTTTCCTATTGATTTATCTACTTATATTCAAGATCTTTGTGTTTTCTTCTTCTTGGGATCTTTGGTAATTTCAATCCTCCCCACTCCTTCCTTAATTTTCTCCTGTTGCTCACTTTCTGACTGTCTCCCCTCTGATGACGGTTTTCTTGGAGGCTAAATCTCGAAGTGTCTCAGCCTTCTCCCACTCTGGACAATTCATAATTTACCAGCCTAAGTCTCTGTCTCAAGTGACTTTTGGAAGGACAGAACTGGATCCAGCTGGGTGCTAAGCTCTTTCCCTCAGGCTTAGTAGAGTATCCCATAACCTTTCCCTCCCCACTATGATCCTGTCCTAGTCTCCTGTCTCATTCCCTCTATTCCTCAGTTCTCTAGCTGAGCACCAGTAGTTCAGAGAGCTACTATATTGATGTTACAGAGTTGGTTTCTGTAGTTTGAGTCTTCAAGGCTCTGAGAGGATATGAGTATGAGGAGTGAGGTTGAACTCTATTTCAAGCTGAGGCATATGTCCTACCCCTTTTTATCTGTTTCTCAGTTCACCTGCATAGAGCTTTTGCAGCACAGAACATTACTGTAATGGCACTGTCTTTTGTGGTCCCAGCAAATTTCTGTACCCTGGAACCTGGATCTCCTTGATTTTGGAAGAAGAAAGGGAACTGGGGTGTGTGGTTGGGTTTTGTTGTAAGCCCATGTGTCAGGTTCTTGGGTCAGCTAGTATAGCTTTGAAGCTCATGGGAAGGGGTTGTTGAGTGAGCTCAGGGTCAGTGTGAGTTCATTGATTTGGATTTTTTAAAACTTCTTTTGGATTCCAGGTGTCTTAGATCATGGAGATAGCTTTGGTACATAATTTCTATTTTGAAGAGATTTGAAAGGTAGAAGAGATTAGAGAAAATGACTAGTCTCCACCTTGTTGGTCACATGACCTGGAAGTCTTGATCATTTGTTAAGCATAATTCCAAATTCTTCCCAGAATGCCAATTCACAGCTCCAACAACAATACATCAGTATGCCTGTCTTTCCACAGCCCATCCAACATTGTCTAGTTCCATTTTTTTTTATCTTTACTAACTTTCTGAGCGTGAAGTGAAACCTCAAAATTGTTTGATTTGCACTTCTCTTATTGGTGATTTGAAGGTATTTTTCATATGATTGTTTAGTAATTTGAAATTCTGTTGTTTGTTTACATTTTCTGACTTCTTTTTAACTGGAGAATGGCCTTAGTTTACATTTTAATGAATGAACTTTGCTTAGTCATAATATATAGCACAAGGGTTTATGTTTCCATTTCACTTGCTCCAAATGAGTTTACACCCTATATCTCCAATATGGCACTGTTAGATTATTAACAAAGAATGTTTGATATTCTACTTGTACTTGAAAGGCAGTATGAGATAATGAACATATGGAGAACTGACCTAGAAGCCAGGAAGACATGGGTTCAAATCCAGCCTCTGATACTTACTGGCTATGTCACCCTGAGTACATCCCTTCACCTTGAAGTGCTCTAGGCAGCTAAGACTAAAACTACAGAGAAAGTGGTGACCTGCATTGGCAGAAATTGTTTCCTTACTTTACCAGTGAAAATTACAAGTTCAGTCCCTGGCCCTGTTTTACTTAAATGCAAGCAGCCAGTTTCAGTAGATAGAAATATCTGATTGTGAATATTGATTTCAACTTCATTCATGGCTGATTTCTAAATCATACCCTTTCTCTCCTGCAGATTTTTTTTTAAGAAAGTGGCATATTAAAGTTAATATGTATAGTCATTTTAAAATAATATAGAAAATAAGTTATGAATTATATTTTATTGTATCAATTGACACTCCTTTAGAAATATCTCAAGTAATAGAATTAATTACTTCAGGCATAGGATAGAAGGAGATATTTTTTGTCCAAATAACATTCAGTTTTGGAGAATAGTTGATTTGGCATTTACTTCTGATCTCTGAAATAGCATATTAATAAGAACAGTTTCACCATACTAAAAGTGAACAACACAGTACATAAATTTGAGAAACTCCCTTTCAGCTCTACAATTCTATGATTTTTAGTCTAATAAAATGCTCGTTTATGCAGTTATTAACTTTAAAATGTGCTGTACTGTTTATTTTGAAGATTCATACCCCTCCCTACTAAAAAAAATATCAAGACCAGATTAAATTGACTATTAGGGATCATGGTTGGCTCATCTGTCTTCGAAAAGTTTTTGAGTCACAGCTAAGAATACTTAGCCTACTCAGTGTCTTTGTAAACTTCTGAAACTCGAGTTTTATTTATATTGTTTAAGCTTGGGAGAAATACAAAAGGCCATTGGGAACCAAAGAGGGTATGAAAAAAAGGTTTTTGAAAAACATTCAGAAGCCACAACATCCTAAATTCATCACTGCAAAGCATAACTTTTGCTAATTAATGTCCAATCAATAAGGTAAGTTAGGTTGGGAGAACTTCAAAGAACTTGGTGTGAAACAGAAAAATTGTCCCATTTCACATTTCTCAATGTGAAATTTAGGTCATAATACCTAATAATAAAAGTTAGTGTTTGATTATTAATATACTTCAATAACTTAGTATAACAAATGTTCTAAGGCTGAACCTCATTGTGAGTCTTCAAAATTCTTGACAAGGACTAAAGGTGAAAATTTATTCAAATTAATGAAACTGAAAAAAAAATTCTTTGTTAATAATCTAATAGAGCCATATTGAAGATATAGGGAGTAAACTCACTAGGAGCAAGTGAAATGAAAACAAAAACCATTGTGCTATATACAATATTGCTGAGCAAAGTTCAATCATTAAGCTCTAGTTTTTATAGCTTGCTGAAATCAAGGTCCTTCATCTCATGCCAAGAATACTTGGGCAGACAGCAAGCCATTTAAAACTAAAGCTGGGTGAGGAAGAGGAGGAATGGCATTCTCTCAGTTACTTTTGGTTCCTCTTTTCCATTGTTTCCAGTTAAGTTTGCTTTGATAACCTACTTTTAAGTTGATCTCTTGTGCAAATCACCAGCTTGTGCATATCTACAATGTTAGTTATCCTACATATAAGAGAACAGAAGCTGAGAGTTAAGATGGCCTGCCTGTCATGCTTACTCACAGTGGCAGAGCTGTATCCACGACCTAGGTCTTCTCGTTTCCATTTTTATTTTTATTCCATTTCACCAATGTGATTTTGAAAAAAAAAAAATCAGATTCTGTTTTTCATATGCTAATTATAAAACAGTTGAAAAGAATTGTTCTGAGAGACAATTTTAAAAATTGCTCATTTGTTTCTCCTCGTTAAAACTTGAATTGAAACTCACCTTTATCAAAACATGGAATTATATCGATGTTATTTGTAGTTTTTTGCTGGAGTACCTATAAGTGAAATCAGAAATGGGCCTTGGCTATAGTGGGAAACTATGCCACAGAAGTTCTGTCAACCTCTTCTTCATTGTGAATGAGGCACTGAAGAAATTGTAAGGTGTTTCAGGATGCAGTGTTTCAGCACTAGAGAATTATCTCGGACACTAAGAGGTAGTGGGCCTTGCCCAGGGTCCCATAGCCAGTCACAAGACATGAACTCAGCTCTACATGACTCTAAAGCCATTTCTTTCTCTGTTACCACATGCTGTCTCTCAGCAGGCCAATGCTAGCTAGTCATTATTGTTTCTTTTTAATTTGGTGTAACAGTTAATCTCGTGCCCTATATTCAGGGTCTCTGATTAGTTAGAGACATGTATTTAAATCAGCTGGCTAGTCTTCTTTCCAGAACATATAAAAGCAATGCTGGTAGATAGCAGAAAACTTGATGTGGTAACTTGGCGTATTGTTTAAAACAATAGGTTTGCTCTGTGGAAAGGATTCCTTTTGGCTTGGAATTCTCTTAGGTTCCAAAGTCACTTCTAGAACTTCAGGGTAGGCTAGTAGCTATCTGGTATAAGTAGAAATTCTCATTTTCCATCTGCATCTAATTTTGAAATTGTGATTACTGTGCTTATATGGATCTCACCACAACCCTTTGTTGACCTATAGGTTGGATTATTTCAATATGCAATATGAGAAGCTTCTGTACAAGAACACATAGTCATTTCAGTAGATACAAAATACAGTGGCTTAGCAGCTAATAATACCAGCTTCAGGGAATACTTTACAACTGTCTACTTCAGCCAACCCAGAAGTTTATGAAGGTAGAAATAAGGCAGGTAGTAAAGTTTTTCTTATTTGATTTGTGGTAGTTTAATTTAGTACTGTTTTTGTGTGGTATTTATTATGTGACATCCATGATTGAGTGGGCACTGTTGTGAAAACATCTCTTCCAAGTTTCCAGAAAATCTGGAAAGGAAAGAAATTTATCTAGCTAGGTTGTGCCTACCAGCTAAAATGTGAATATCACATAAGTAGGAGAAAAAGTGTCCTTTGCTCTGTTAATTTCCTGCTGTGTGTTCACTGAGTTTTTCCAGTGAAGTGTAGCCACTTAATTTATTTTCTCAGGTTAATTTATTTTAGTCTAACCACGCATATTTTTAGTATGCAGATGAATATAAGAGAATTTAAGTGTTCCACGTTATAAATTTGCCATAATAGAAATGCATACTTGTAACAGCATCTGTTTAGAATTGACAGTATTCCAAAGCCCTGAAAAAATTGAATTAATTTCTTCAATTCACATGAAAAATATTTTTCACAGGTTCCTGAAAATTTGTGGATCTGAATTAGTACGCCTTGAATTGGCTTGTGGCCACTTCCTCAATGAAACTTGTTTGGAGATTATTTCTGAAATGTGTCCAAATCTTCAGGAATTAAATCTCTCCTCCTGTGATAAGTTGCCACCCCAGGCTTTCAACCACATTGCCAAATTGTGTGGCCTTAAGCGACTTGTTCTTTATCGAACAAAAGTAGAGGTAAGAATTACTCATTTACTTTTGTCACCTTCCATGACCAAATTATAAGCTTATCTTAACTAATGTTAGTTGGTTCCATGACAGCATGATGTTAGATGAAACATTGGTTTAGGAGATAGTTCCATAGTAGTAATGTTATAAATGAGAGATGTATTCTTGAGGTAGGGTTTGGTAGATGCCCAGATGGAGCTGGTATGGCAGCCGTAATAATAGAGGGAAAGGGATGGGACAGGACCTAGGCCTAAGCCTAGTGGATCAAGAAGCACTCTGATCCTGGTTGATGTTAGTGGAAGCCATAACCCTAGGCAGAGGGATATGCCTAGGGAAGGTACAGTCCTAAATAAAATGGAGCCATGCTGGGGAAGGATGTTTAGTGAGTTTCAGGTATGAGAGTAGATAAAATACAAAGGAATTAGGATTAATTAGGGTGGGGTAGGGTGGAGAGCCGAGTGGTGGGATGGGGAAAGAGAGTATTAGCTTGATGTCTGGTGATTAAATTAACAGCAAAATTTTCAATAGCAGAAGGTTATAGTGTTAAGGTGGAGAGTTGGTTATAATGTATTAATGACATTACAAAATTTCTTTGGTTTGAGCATCTGCATGTGGCACAGGCAACATGTAATTAGTTGACCACTTATACTGTTAACATGGTTTTCATTTTAAGAATTTTAAACAAATTAAAATTTCTTGTGCTCTAAATATTATAAAAGTTAGTAGTGATCTTGTTGTATTTGCATCCTGCATCTTGTGGTATAAGAATGAGAGGGTATAGGGTGATGAAATGGACCATTGACTTGGGGGAAAGAGAGTAAGTGCTCTTGAAAGAAACACAATTTTAATTTTTTTTGTATTTAAAAAAAAGTTTGAACTTAATAAATAGCAACTAAAATGAGTATTTCTCTATAGACAGTAAAGCATAAAGAGAGGATTGTACATGAAAATGAATATTATGTACAGCTTGCTTTTCTTTTAAAATATATAATAAATTCAACATGTAACTTTCAAAGCTGTCCTTCCTTCTGGCCTTCCTTCTGTTCTCTTCTATGCATTTCAAAACATGTCTCAATGACTCACTTTTCTTCTTTTATTTTTCTTTCTCTTTTTGGGCAACCCCCTCCCAAGCTACTCTCTTCTTTCCCAGAAAAGAGAAAAACAAAACCTTGTAACAAATATGCATAGTCAGGCCACAAATTCCCATATTGGTCATGTCTGATTTTGCATCTTGAGTCTTTCTTTCTCTCTCTGTCAGGAGGTAGGCAGCATGTTTTCTCATCAGTCTCTGGAATTATGGTTGGTCATTGCAGATCAGAGTTCTTAAATCCTTCAAAGCTGTTTGTCTTTATTGATACCACCGTTGGATAAATTCTTCTCTTTGATCCACCCACTTCATTCTGTATCAATTCATACAAGTTTTTCCAGGTTTTTTTGAAGTTATCCCTTTTATAATTTCTTAGGGCACAATATTTCATTGCATTCATATACCATAATTTATTTATCTATTCCCTAATTCATGAATACAACCTTATCTTCTAGTTCTCCACTATAAAAAAAGAGCCACTACAAATATTTTTGTACATATATATCATTTTCTTCATTCTTTGATCTCTTTGGAGCATAGGTCTAACAATGATATTGCTTGGGTCAAAGGGTATGTACAGTTTAATGACTTTTGGGCATAGTTTTAAATTCTTTTCAGCATTGTTGGACCAGTTCACAGATCCACCAATAATAGTGCATTAGTGTACTTGTTTTCCCACAGGTCTTCCAACAATTTATCATTTTCTTTTTTTTTGGGGGGGGAGGTCATCTTTGCCAATCTGAGTGATAAAATGAAACCTCAAAGTTGCTTTAATTTGCATTTCTCTAATTTTTAGCGATTTGGGACATTTTTATATATGTTTATTGATAGCCTTGATTTTTTTCATTTGAAAATTGCCTATTATACCTTACTATATTTATATATTGGAAAATGACCCTTATAAATTTAAATCAGTTCCTTATATATCTTGGTTTTGAGGTGTTTTCACAGAGAGAATTTCTGCAAAGAATTTTTTTTTTTGCAGTTAACGATTTTCCTTCCAATTTTAACTGCATTGATTTTGTTTCTTCTAACAACAACAACAACAATAACAACACAACTTGGAAATTGTCATTATCCAGGACTGGTCTTTGAGGAATTGTGTGTGCCACCATAATTTAAGGAGCGTCAGTTTTTTTCTCAAAAAAATTATACATACATACATTACTATGTTCTGTGACCATTGTGTTCAAGGTAATAAAGTAATAGGAATACACAGATGAAAAATTAAATAACCCTTTCCCTTTAGGAGCTTATATTGTACTGCAAAGTATAGGCAGTGTACAGTATGAACACAGGTAAGTTGTTGAGCTTAAGATGTCAATAGAATATCCAAGGTGAGCTGTTCAGCAGGCAGTTAGAGATGACTGGAGTTTAGGAGAGCAATCAAGGCACATTATAATATATTATGATTGGGAACTTTAGCTGTCCAGACATTTACTAGATCTTTTTCTCTGACTAAAGGAGAGCAGCTGATAATATCTTACATTGATGAAATATTTCATCCTTCAAAAATACAAAGAACCAAAGGGGCAACTTGTATTCTGGACCTGACTTTCACCTGCAAGAAATAACCAGTTGTTGGGAATGGAAATGCTGAGAACCTTGTCAGGGAAATGACCATTTCAATTTAGAATTTGAGATAGAGTAGAGTAAAGCCAGGCACAGTCTGGCTTGCACCCTACATGTTTGGGAGAGCTGACTTCAGAAAATTCAAAGAAAGCGTAGTGGAATCCTGTAACCTAAAATGTTACAGTATAAAGTTAACCCATGAAGGACAGAAAGTCCTGTATATTGAAATTCTGGAGACACAAAGAGAAACAATTCCATCAAACAGCATATAAAAATATAGTAAACAAAAATACAAAAGCACTGGCTTTGTCCTTCAGGAATCTTGTCAGGAATGCTAAAACTCAGTATGAACTAAAGTTGAGGAAAATGAGGAAAGCTAAGAATATAAGAAAAAATAGGGGAAATTTGGGGAAATGAGGATAAAAGAAGGAATGTGATTGCTGCTCAGGGTTTATGAGACAATGATAGCCTTTATCTGTGTGCATGTTATTTCACCTCAGTAAAATGCAAATTCCTTGAGGAAAGGGATAATTTCATTTTTGTCTTCCTGACCCCCCTGAATGAACAACAATGGAGAATTATGGATGAAATTAAGATGGCTAATAGGGAGTTGATTCTCAAGATAAGCTGGGAGACATACAAAAAGGGGCCTAACTACTTTTGAAGAATTGTCACCAAACTTAAATGAACTACCTCCTTGAGCAGGCAGGTGTAAGTGATGAGCTGCTGTCAATGATATCTGAAGGGTCAGGGGGAATGGGAAAGATACAGCAGGGTTGGAGGAGGGCACATGTTTTGATTTCTAAAAATAGAAAGAATAAATTCTGCAAGCTGTAGATCAGTTATACCTCAAAGAGATAAAAAAAAAAGGAAAAGGACTGCTATGTACATGTATATTTATGGCAGTTTTTGTTGTAGTAAAAACTAGAAGCTAATGAGGTGCCCATCAATTAAAGAGTGGCTGACATTCAGATATATGAATATAATGAACTATTATTGTGTCCTTTAATTCTGAAAGGGACAGTTTCAGTGATACCTGGGAAAACTTGTATAAACTGAAATAGAATTATGTAGCAAAGCCTAGAGAACAATTTATACAATAACAATGACAACATAAAGACAGACAACCTTGAAAGATTTAAAAACTCTGATCCAAGCAATGGCTAACCACGATTCTAGAGGACAGATGAGGAAACATGATGGACTCAGGAAGCAGAATAAGACATACATTTTCAGATATGGCCAGCATGGGAATTTGTTTTGCGTGATTATTGCATGTTTGTCATAAAGGTTTTGTTTTGCTTTTCGTTTTTATTGGGAGAGGGTTGAGATGGAGAGAGAGAGAGAGAGAGAGAGAGAGAGAGAGAGAGAGAGAAAATAAACTTAAGATGGAGAAAGTAGTGAAGGATATGTTGCCAAAAAATAAAACAAAATAAATGGTGTCACTGAAGCATTTCTTCAAAATGTGCAGAAAAGATCATGGGGAAGATCAGAAGAAAATGCAGATGATCAGGACAGCTTTGAAAGTCACATGTTATAGTTAAAGAAGACTGTAAACAGAAATTCGCAGTTTCATATGCAATCCTTCTTTTCTGTTTTATGAATATGAAAATGCTCATTTTAATTTATATTTGTTAACATTATAAAAAAATTCAAGTGAATAAAACACATTCCATGCTACTGAGCTTAATTTCAAAATCATGAGAAAATTCTAAAATGAATTATTAAATAATTGATTAGTGATCATCTAAAAAAGGAAGTAGTAATCATAGAGAGCCAAGCTGACTTCATCAAGAACAGTTCATACCACTATAAATTAATTTTCCTTTGTCATATGATTAGTAAACTAGTAGATTAAATGAATTCTCTGTGTGTGTATGTGTATATATATATATGTGTATATTATATATATATATATATATATATATATATATATATATATGGTTTATTTAGATTTTAGCAAAGAATTTGGTGAAATTTCTCAAAAAAGTCTTGTAGATAAGATGGCAAAATGTGTGCTAAGGAATAGTACAGTCAGATGAACTTGAAATTGTTTGAAGGGCTAGAATATGAGTCATTAGTATTTTGGTATAAATTTAAAAGGAGGTGGAGTAGCCCAGAAATCTGCTTGATTCTCTTACTAAATTTGTGTATGGTGCAAAGCCAGGAGGAATAATTAACATACTGAATGGCAGAGTAAGTGTTCATAAAGATACCAGCAAGAATCAGATCAAATAAGATGAAATGTAATATATAGAAGTGTAAAATATTACATTTTGGTTCAAAAAACCCAACTTCATAAGTACAAGATGAAACAACAGAAACAATAACAACAACAACAACAACAAAA